AGGCTATAATAGAAAATTAATAGGACAGGAGTTATATGTGTCACAACTATTGACGCCACCATTATCTCGGATGTTGAATCTCTCAATTAACACAAACATAAACCATATGAATTTGGAAGGTTATTTGGAGAAAATAATCAATTTATATAGGAAATAAAGGCAAAATGTGAACCTTTCTAAAGGGCCAATTTTGGTTCGTTCAATCAGACATTCGTGTACACAAGTCGTGTCGCACACAAGCTCAAGGTCCGAAGTGTTAATTCGGCTCATGATTTACACCTCCTGAGCGCACACATGGAGAGAACATATACGCTCTCTTTGGACTGAGAGGAATAATACAAAATACAGGAACATATGTTTGAGTTCGAGACGTATTATCTGGAGAGTTTACCGTATGGCATCCTTCCTCCATACTGGTAAATTATTCTGACCATCAAATTGGCGTAATGACATGTAGCTTGCAATATTTTTTTGGTATTTCTTTGACTCTCCCCTCCCTCTATCATGGTTTGGTGGTGCACTCCATCAATTGGATATGTCAAAATCAACACCGATGGTTGTTTCAATGATGGGTTTGCCAGTTGGGGGGCATCATCAAGGACTACGTAGGAATATGTATCAAGGCTTTCTCAACTTCATATGGACAGTGTATCATATTAGAGGCGGAACTCAGGCTATTCGTGAAGGGATACTACTGGCTAGAGATCTTGGTTTGACAGATATTTGGGTTGAGGCTGACTCAACTGTTGCCATTCACTACATCACCAAGGTGGCGGACCGTGGCCTATCCAGGGGATACTCAGACAGATTGCAGATATCGTTTCCTTTGGGAGAGATATGGTTTCCCACATTTTCAGAGAGGGGAACCAAGTTGTAGATGCACTTGCAAACGAGAGTTGCCATTATCATTGATATCAGGAATATGGACCAGCCGACCTACCACGACATATCAGAGCGTTTGTTCAGATTGACAGATATTGTTTGCCCATCACTACAGTTTAAGTATTTGTATTTGTATTTGTATTTTACTTTTATTTTTATTTTTGCTTACACTTGTGCTTTT